AATTAATTATGAGACCTAATATTTCGCCGGATTCACGTTATCATTCGCTTGGGTTCTTCACTTTAACTAAAACAAAAATGGAACAAAGGCAAACCAAAAAAAAAAACTCGAATAACATCAAAGTTGGATTAGGATTGCGGTGATCGTCCTAGATTTCAACCAAAACATTCTGGGAAAGAAATACAGATTTTTTTTCCCTTAAAAAGACATCAACATCCCGTTATGTCTTCATCGAACATTGAATGACAGTTAATGGGTAAAAGCGATCTTTGAAATCGTCAAACATTAATTGGTCTTTTACAAAGTAGTGCAACTTTTTGGACACCGAATACATTTCATGAGATTCGAGCAAGGCACATGGATGAAGCCTTTATTTGCCAACTGTTCTAAGCCGTACCGAAAACAAAACGATTATTTTAAGTGACTACAGCTAGCGGATCTTATTCTATCACAAAGAATCCCATTGTTTTTTTTCGTGGTTATGTGGACCCCAAGTCGAGCGGGACAGAGGAAATCAGTTATTGATCGAAACTAGGGATGATAAGACGAAGTACTTAACGATTTAAGTAAAAATGTGAAATAACTGAAAGCTACGACTATACCGTTGTGCATAAAATTTTCAGTATATCACAAATTCTTATACATTCGTGCGAGTTTAAGGCTGATCGAGCACAAACTGTGAAAGGATGTGCTATTCGATACGGTATTTTACGGTGGGCCATAAACGCCTTGAGGTAAACCTCATAGAGTCAAAATTTGTGAATCTCCCATATCTCAGACATGTGCGTCTTCCATATATTGCACACACAGCGCTAGTATAGTAATCGTACCTTCTTAGCACCCTTTATGAAACTCCTTCTCCATAAAAGAATTAACTTCTCCCATATTCGTATATGTATGTTTTACCAGCTTATTAGATATCGTAATTTTAGTACATTGCGCTTTAGTAGTTTTAAGCTATGCTGTTCCAATTAACAACTGTAAAAATACGAGGATAGTACTCAGCTTTTATGTAGATAGATAGAAAGAAAGAGAAAATCTTACTCGCGGGCTACGTACCATGAATTAAGTGCATTGGTATGTCGCTGAATTTGAAATTCTGGAAAATGAACGCACTCACTCGCAGGACTTGTGGTCCTGTTGTTTTGCTACTTACGAAATTGATATGGCGTCTATCCGATCTGTCGAGTTCGCTAATTAGATAAATTAATCGATTGGTTAGTATTTTCGGAATCACCTATTTTTAGCTAGAGTATAACAAAGCTGTTCCCATTAGGAATTTAGCCAGGGCAACGATGAGAGGGGACAGCGATAACTTTAATAATAATACCTTATTTTCCTCATCACCTTGTTTTTTTGCTGATCACTAATGTTTATTAACGTATATTTTATTATTTGCACGGAACTCTTGCTATCCGGTCCGTGGTGCTTAAACCTCTTAGTTAACAACCCTTCTAGTTTTGTAGTAGATGAGCATCCTGTCAACAACATGGGGAATTCCGTAAACTATATGTAAAATCACAAAATATCACTTCTTCTATAAAGTGTTGTCGTAGAAATTTAGATCTATGTAGTTACTCTCAATTCGTATTCACGGACGAATTGTTTCTTTTAAAAATAAAAACTGATGTTTCACACGAACAGATGGACGAATCGATCTCTAGCTTTGAAGTGGATGTACAGGACATATCTATAGCGCGTCGACTTCACATGGTCGTGCTTGCATAGTTGGTTTGCCGCAAGGTTTTCCGTATTAGCCCACGCCAGGCAAACATGCAATTTATTGAATCAAAATGGGCCAGTGCTGCTTTTGAGAGCTGATGTGGATCCTTACCCACTGCAATAGCACAGCCCTCCGCAATATGCTTACTGAGTGATCGTCGTACTAGATTTCTAGGTAAGTTAACATAGTGGCACATCAGATTACCATGCTTCCACGCCAAAAAGGACCTAAGCGATGTCTTTCACATGTTTACTTTGAGTCCGAGCTCATCGACATATACCTTAAGGTGAGCAATGCTCGTTGAATATGACGCCAGCTTGTTCTTCTGAAATAGTACACATAGGCTCGCGGTATTACGAGAGACGGTTTGTGAAAAGTTGAGACAGAAGTTTATAACAACAGCCTTTCTTTAGCGACATCTTACCAGTGAAAAACACCTTTACCCTCGAGCATCATAGATCTTTCCTCAGCCATTCCTCAGAGAGGCATTAAAGGTGTGTTATCCGGCGTTAAGTATGCTTTGAACAAGAAGGCCTATTGTAAATCTTCGTTGGAAATCAGAGTCGAAGCCCGAAGTTTTCGCTCCGCCGGAGTTTATGAATAGCATCCATCACTTCCTGTATTTCAAAATTTCGATCTAAAAGGTCGCGAAATTCAAACGTTGACGAATCCCATCTTCATGCATAAAACAGACAATAGTGGAGAATGGTATTTTAACCGGCTATAAAATGTTCGATCGGTATATGCAGAGCACTATAGCCAGCAGCGGGGTTATAATCGTATCTGGATCCCTATAAGGTACACTAACGAGAATTTGCTGTTTTGCTGCCGAAGTTCTCTTTTGAAAAATATGTGCAGTAGGCGAAGTGCAAATATAGAAGACGCTAGTGTTTTCATGGCGAGGTACTGGCGCCTTTCGATTCTGCAGGTGTCGTCAACTCACGATCTTTTATCGTGGGACTGGGGTTGCATCGTTAAGTGAAGCAGGATTTTTTTAAGTGTCATATTCTTTTCCGTCAATTAGGCGGGAAATTAGGCAAATTTAGGTTGAAAAAGAAATCAGTTGGCAGGTTTCGAAAGTGGTGACTGACGAGGTCTAGAAGCGTTGACCGCTGTCAATATTAATAGCACTTCTATTGGATTGTGTCACTTACCACTCTTGTCTGCTGAACATTACCTACCTAGAGATTCGACTCCGCTTGCTAATAGATTTATGTCACGGATATCGGTGAGCGAGCTGCCCATATACGTCTTGAACTTTGGCGCCATATCATCGTCCACGATTGTAAAGACGAAATCCCGAAGAAGGAGAAGTAAAATTAACATTATCGCACTGTTCGAGCGGTCGATCCATGTATTTAAGTCGTCATACAATAAGACAGCAGGTGATTGATCTACTAAGTGGAAGCTTGAATCATCAATGATGCATAAGGTAATTGCAATGGTAGCATACAATGGACGAATACAAACAAAGTACCAAGCGTACCCCTCTTGCCAGCGCTGGATGAGAACGAAGCGCCCAAAGCAGCCTCTGACTTATTCCTACGGTCGTTAACTTCAGAAAAAAGCAAACTATGTATACTTGTACTTGGAAATAACTAGCAGCAAAAGGTGATCTATGTGAGTATTATAAATTTAGAGACGGGTACGATGGGGCTTTAATAATAACAACACAGGAAATGGGTGGGTACAAAGAAGAGAAAAAGGAAATCGATTGTACTGAAATGAGCACAAGATACTGCCAAGCGCTTCCAAAAGATGGATGTACTTATACATTTCTAATAATTTCCTAGACTTGACTTAACGAGAAGCCACTGCGATAAAAACTTCATACTTGAAGAAATTCAGTGTTCACAATAAAGTAAATATAAAACATTTGCTCACATACATTAAAACAAACTGGCGAAATATTTTGCAGAAAAATACGCCAAACGTGAATTAACTCGCATAAAAAAAAATAGGAAATTGGACTTCCTACATGGGTTTTTCTTATTTAAGCTAAACATGATGGGTTACCAATAACACTTGACACGACTCTTCCCACGATTTCGCCGCTCCTGTAGGCGACTGTCACCCTGTCGTCACAAGCGAATTCGCAGACGTAACTAACTGATAAATCAAAAACATCAAACAAACGTTGTTAAGTTGTAGGTAACCAGTGACATTGATATAAATTTAACTTGCAGGGATTCTCGGCGTATTTTCTAAACATTGGCCGTAGTACACAGTGGTAGATTTCGTTGAAAGCTATCCGACTTAACGGTCGAATGAGGAAAGTATGAGTGGAGCTTCAAAGAAGCCGCCTTTTAATAACCACATTACGATTGTTTTTTTTTTCAACATTTGCTTTGTTCTACGTTGACTTGTACCAACTTTTAAATAAAAGGTTAGGATACAGTATTAGGATATGTGATAGTTGAAACTTTTTTAACTATTATCCCTACAATTAATAAATGTGTATATTGTCGCTATGTTAGCTCAACTTTCTTTAAGTGCTGATCTTACAACCTTTGTCGATTACTATTGAGAACTCAAGATTTTCGCTTTGCGAAAAATCAGCAATCGAATTTAGCCTCACAATTACGTTAGGTAGGTATGTAGCTCATATAATTAAAACCAGTATAGAACTAGTAATAAACTATTAGAATAATTAGCAGTCTTTGTGGCTTGCATTTAAGGCAAGTATGTAGATTACACACGAGCTCCTTACCCAACCATTAATCTTAAGGACGTGTCCGGCGTTATCTTATCCTAAGTCATACGAGCCCTTTCGTAAGTGCAGCGCATACACACGGCCTAGGCTTACGAACGCGTCATCCTAAATACGCCTGACTAAATTGCCTTTTCACGCTATTCTTATTGTCCCACCACTATGAGCATCTTGAAGGACTAAATTCTAAACGGCCCAACTGCATGCAGCACTTCAACCCCACTTCTCCATCACTAGCGCTCTCCAGCGCGCTGAATCGTTGTAACGATCGACGACCTTCCTCTAATTGGCTTATAGTGTTATTATCACCATTCGTTAAAACGCATACGTACACATGTATGCATGGAACATACAAATTACGCTTAGATGCACGAACACTCACTCAGATAATGTTGAACTCGATCTGAGTGACCAGCGTAAGTACCCCTCACCTGCGACGGAAAGATCCCCCACTCACTGCCCTCTCTCACAAAGGAGAGGGTAAATAAACTTGGCCTAGTCGGTCCAGGCTGAACTGTCTACGCCAGCAAATGTACAAAGGATGCGAGGGAGTGCGGTTTCCCCTGTTCGTGGCCTGGAAAACTCGTGCTTCTCTCCTTCGGACAATGCCTTTAATTACCTCATTACACTACAGAAGCGATCAATATTGATCTACTTTATAGAAAGCGATCACCATGAGTGCTGAACAATAAATCGAGTAAACGATGCAAAACCGTTGCTCAACTTGAAATAACCAAGTTCTGTGTTGTGGTTAACTTGCTCGAGCGTGTCTAACGCGTCAAGAAGCTGTGTCAAGTGCTGCCTCCCTTAGTAGCACGGCTTCAAGGAGAGCCAGAGAAAAAGTGAAGCTGATGCTGTTTTCCGCTTCGAATATTCAAATGGCCTTAAAGTACTGCTTCCTAATTCTGCTAACTACGGGTAAGTTGCAATAAGCAAATTAATTATTTTCAGACAACCCTTAACCAAGGACTGCGTAACGTGGTATTCTGGGTTTACCTCTCAGTACCTACCACCGATTTATGCGCTGCCGACAATGACAGATTAAATAGAATAGGAGTAACAGTCATAGTACTAACAACAATAAATTTCCAACAAACACGACCCTATTGGATGTTTTACATGATCAGAAGCTATGTTGTCTGAGACGATTGTAACTATGTACGTTTGATAATATTATATCAGTAGAGATATGCTCTGGAGCAGCCACGAGGCCTTCCACAGTTCTCACCGAATGTGACAAAATCATGTGAGAAAAAAAAATATTCGGAGAACAATTGACAACAAGCGTTCCCTTTAAAAATCAAATTCAAAAGCAAGCTTGATATAACCTGTTTCGGTAGACATTCGGTAATCATTCAACGAGTTAAATAATTTTCGAGGAGAAAGATCATTTTCTGACGTATCGTTCTTTGGCATCTCTATAGAAAAACGAAAATGCGGTTAAGCTAGTATGGCAGACGTGTACTCTACTGCTAAATAATAAGACGTCGATTGGTCTATTTCGGTAAAACAAGTAAACTTAGCGAGCCGCGTATAACGGTGCCGAAAATGACTGTTTTCGATATCCGGACCTTCAATTTATGTCCAATTAGTTGATGAGAGTTGTGCCTGCTGTCGAGATGTTATGTTTCTTCGATATTCCATTGGACATGACATATCTTAAATTAGCTTTGCCAAAAAGTGTGGATTAATGGTTTGATGAACGACTGGCAACTTACTTGAGGCCCGAAAGTATTTGTAGCACTTTTACGATGCACAATATATACTGTAAACTGCGCAATTATAGATTTGTTCAGATATTCTTCAGATCAAAGAAGCGTCGTCAGATAGACGACGCTTCTTTGAATTACTGCTCACTAAAGGTTAACACTTGCAAACCTAAAGCGAATATTTAGGGACCTTCTATTTCTACTAGAAGGACTGTATTGAAACGGAGCGTTCGAATGGATCAAATATTTAATTTCCATAGGGGGCCACTATGGCCGGCAAAAATGTCAGATCCGACATTTTCCGAAAAAAGTCCATGATAGTAATCTTCAGGTGATGATTTTCAGTCTCGCAACGCCACATGTGTAAGTTCGGGCTTTAGTCGTTTACTGAATTAGTGTACTAAAATCCTTTTTTAGGTGATGAATGACGCTACCCCGCGCCGCAGCAATAATAACAACCAGATCAGTGATTCGCGCGAAACGAGACAACCCAATCTGTCACACAGCTCGCAAAAAAAGAATGACTTATATATTATAATATTACATAGACGAATACCATCTCAAAACACCGATGGACCTCTACAAGTGGGAGTATCGCCCGAGATTGCTTGAAAATGGGTACAATACAAAGTACCTCATTAATCAAAATCAATAGGAAACGTTTGCGATTAGCTGAAACCTAATCATCTCAAAAAGACCGTACGTATCGAACTGACACCAGTGCGTGCTTAAAACGACAAGTTCTATGAGCCAACTTACGGCTATCTACAGTAAAAACATAAGAATAAGCAGCTTTCGGCAAGCACAGCTGGACAGTTCGTGAAAACGAAATAGGAAAAGCGAGGCGTTCTTCGTTGATTGAAACTGCTACACTCAAGGAATCTAAAACAAGGCTAAGCCTATCTAGACGTTTAGGTTTTCTACAATTTTTAGATGGGGTTGAAGCAACGATCAACATTAAGTTCCTATATGAATCATTGTATTGAGCTCTACAGGTCATTGCCATTTCGAAGCTTCTTTAACATGCCTGGGGGTGTTTCTTTTTTTAGCCTCTTTCTTAACAGTGAACAGCTTAAACTTCTACTAGTGATTATGGATTTAATTCCATTAAATGAACAGAGTTTAGAGAAGAAGCTAGACGAATGTACTGAGCGGAATTGGTCAGAAACCACAGAATAACTTGTTTCTATCTAGCGAAAATAGACCTAAATTGGAAAGTGTGGTAGTACACCTTACTTCACAGCAACTAGTTACCAGAAAGTTGTAAGTTTTGGAAAGAGAATGGAGAGCGAACTTATTCACACTGAAGCACATTCTTAACACTGTCCTATCATGAGGATTTTTCACTGATGGGGTCGTTGAAGACAAAATACCTAGAGGTACATTTAGCTAAAGATATTCTTCTAACATAGTAAAATTGAAATATGTGCGAAGCAGCTTTAGGGACCCGTACAGCCTGTGCGTTTAGAAGGTCCAAAGAAATGCAGAGTGCCAGATTTTAACTGCGGTACCGATGTGGCATGCTTTCACTTTACCAAGCAACGGCTCAAGCATCTGTGCTACCATGAGCGGAGCAAACTTGATGAGCACAATGTTACAAATTGAACGATATTTTCTATTTATATATCAGTTAAACGTCTTACCCCCCGTGGATAGTGCAAGCATACAATGGCATGGCAAGCAGTTCGAAAGTCTGCTTAGTAGTCGGTTTCTGTAGACATAGCAAAAGTCTGAACAGATGGGTGCTAGGCGATGACAAAGACCTGAACAAGTAACCCCGAAACGATCGTAACGCTCATTAGAAACATTCGTCTAAATGCAATCAAGACAAAATTCTAATGTGCCGATCAATATCAGTGGTCATCTTAATTATTAGACGAGCCAAGCTCGAATAGTCTAGGCCATCACGTATAGCTTATTTTTGCAAATGCCTTTGGCAACCATTATTCTTAAGGGCAGCAGGAATTCCATTAACAAAGTACAACGGAACATCTATTGACAAGTAAACGTTTTGGTTAGCGAAGGCTCTTAGCAAGTATATTTTAGGTCCGCTAGCACAGCCGTTCAATAGGTCAGATGGCCTACGCATAACATAGCATCCATGATGAAACGTACTATTATGTTAATTGTTATAGTATTTTATCTTTGGAAGGAAAGTTTATGAACCGCAGCTGTTTTTTCAGCCACTGAAAGTACAGTCAGATTCGGTTGCATCAAAAGAGTTTGTTCTGCGTGGGAAGGGTTCAGTATTATTTTAGCCAATGGAAATAGGCCAACCATGGTCTTTACAAAGATGAAACGAACAAGCAGAAAAAGCGGGGCAGGATGGGTAGCGTCGCAGTTCGAGCTGAGCTTCAACTAGTAACCGCTGTTGGTCAATAGCGGCCCATAAAAAAAATTATTGCTGCTAATTGATCCTGAAGTTATTTATTATAGCCAAATGAACAAGCGGTAAAATGATCTGAGGCTAGCTCATTTGCTGAGTTACAGCTCTCGAGTTCTCAGTGCTTACTGTTGCATAGTTCGAGTTTGTATCACGCTTTGCCATGACTCAGACATTCTGATACTTTCAGTATAAACATTCGAAGCTGAAGATAGTTCCGACGACAAGTAAGCATTTGAAGTGAAGATATGTTTAGTGCCTAAATCAGTCATCACCAACACCAACTAATAAGTTTATCTTACACAATTGGTTAGGTTGGTGAAATAAATTGGTTAATTTATTTTCGCGTGTATATTTACCACGCCACGTTCAAAAATACAAAATAAAGATCTTTATCAACCAGGAGAGGAAAACGTATAGAGAGCTGTGTTAAATGCCTGTATACATCAATAGTAAAGTAGCACTTCATAATAAAGCTGGCCGTAAAGTTATGATATCATCTTAAAATTTCTTTAACGTTTTGGACGAAGTAAAAAAAACTTCTACCCCTTCTCTCCCCAGCAGTCCCAGTCAGTTACTCTGGGGGCTTAAACGAACACGCTTAGTTGGTAGTATCGATCTAGATATCAAGATCATACTGTAGACGAAAGTGATGTGATAAGCATCTCTTATCTTACTTAATATTACCGGAAGGTTATCTGACGAAGTCATACAGGAAGTCCCGTTCGTTTAGGACTGATATTCTTGGCTACGACCACTTACAGAGCAGTCGAATGAATCGACGGCAACGTAATCCCGTAAAATTCTAAAAAGCCGTGTCTACTTCTGATTAGGCAGTATGCTTGTCTTATGTACTGCTTAACTACATACGCATTGTTGAACTTGACCTTAGTTCTTCGAATAATAGAATCTATGTGTACGTATTTGAAGAAGGCATCCGAAGTAATGTGCTATAAAATTCAACTGATCTTAGTGAAACGAGTTGACCAGCTTTATTTCGGGCTTCTTGAATGATAGAGGGTTTATGCTATTCGTATAGCCAAGTTAGGTCAGCAATCAAACTAGTCGTGGGGCTCTAGATCTATGCGGGGGGGGGGGGGGGCAAGTTTTGCCAATCGTCGGGCAATCGTCGGCTCTCCAGCAAACTCTTGCGGTAATCGAAAGCAGCGTGGTACCCCGACATGCACACAAGTACTTGGTAATGCATTTTTCTCGATGGAATAGACCTTGCAAAAACTGCAATAGTGAAGAGTTTAGGATTTAAAAAAATGCCTAGCTTTTTGAACTTCAGTAATAAACAGTCTAATTATATTGTTGCTGTGCCCTTTATGATGCGTAGTCTAATTTTCAGGGTTGTAGATTTGAATCTTCCTTCTGTTCATATAGAGTTATAAGGATTTCGCTATGCACACAATTAGTTTGTAAGTTTGTAGTTCCCGTGAGGTCGGGGATGTAGAACCGCTAGGAAAAATACAAAATCGATATTTATAACATACATTCTGAAAATAACAAGTACTTACGACGGGCTAAAACGGAGCACTAAGGTACGCCAGCAGAAACAGAATATATTCTTAGTTTTTTTTTTCGAAGACCGATTACGCACTTCGTCTATAAACCAAAGCGCGGCTTGTAAATGTCCTCTTTATATAGAGATTAATTTATATTTTAAATGGAAATAGCTAAATAACTACGATATACTTTTCGTAATTCTTTACATAAAAAAAGGGCAAGACTTTTGTTTTGCTTCTATAAATGTGCATAAAAATAATCTAGCCATAGTAAGCTTATATATTTGTAGGCCGAAGGTGCTGGATATTTGTGTGGTA